AGCAAAATAAGTAATGAAATTATACAGGCTGGTTCATAATTGAGTCTCTTCTTAATCTACCTTTTTAATTCTAGACAAATGTGAAAACAGTGACAGTGTCCTTTCCTCTAGATGCTTAACCTATTCTGACAAACTGTGAAAATAAAGGATTTTATACCTTTGCTAATGTTTCTGGTTTAAAACTATTCTTTTAGTTTTCTTTATCAGTTATCTTCCATATTACTTCTTTTAAACTTGTAAATACATTTAGAAAATAGCTTTGTAAATACTTACAGTGTATTAAAAGTTCAGTTTGGTCACTACGGCCTCAAGATTGGCTCTGCTTTTTGAGTGTGAAATCTTTCTGTAGCATAAAGGATACTGTCAGTTCACTGTCAGCAGGGGAGACTGTCGGCCTAAATTGAGAGTTTTAATGCAGTCTTCCCCAGCATAAATTAATGTTTTATGCTGAAGCCTTTGGTTTACTTTAGACAAAACAATGAGGCCTCTTAATATGTTTAGGCTGAATTATGGGAAGAACAACAGGAATAAAATCAAGGGCTGGGAAAATATTGAATAAGCTTTACCTTTAAATATATATATATATATATTATTTTAATTATTGTATTAGTTTACTGTGATTCTTTTATTGTCATTTTTCTAAACAGGTTTTACATGAAACCATTGAAAGGGACTCAAATATGCAACACCTAATCTATTTTCCAAGGGAATTTTACCCTTGAATGGTGCTTTTTGACTGGTCAGGGTTATTTATTAAATTTTATATTTGAAAGTATTTGGGGAATTATGTAAATTCTTTATATGAATCTCTTTATTTCATGAATTGTAAATTTCATAATACTCAGTGATCAAATTGGAAGTTTAGTAAAGTCATTCAAAATGTTCAAACTTTATAATCTGTGTGCATTTTACATATATTTTATCAAGTGCCAGAATACTTGTATTTAATGTTGTAGATTTAATACTACTTGCACATCCCTGTGGCAGCATTAACTTAAGTCACACAAGTTTACACTTAAAAAAAAAAAAAAGCTAAACAAATAAGTAAGCCTGGGACGTGTGTTCCTGTATTTCTTCAGGGGATGTGAAGCCACACATCACTGACTGAGCAGGTTTGCTCCCTGCTCCTGTAGCTCACTCCTGCTATGGCAGACACAGAACTGCTGACTCCCATTCCCACAGGCCAGGGATTCAGCCTTTGAACTCAGCCTGAGAACCTCTGCTTGTAGATCTGGGTAGAGGTAGAGCTCTTGCACGATTTTAACAGTGTTTGTTTCTGACTGAAAATTTGTATTTTTAAATAAATTTTATTTGTATGGTTATTTTTCAAGATAAATAATTGAACAGTTTGAATGACTTGACTTGGTGTCATTATCTTGCAATATAAACCGGGAACCTCACACCTCCGCACTTCATCGCCACGTGAAGTAAATGAAGCTAGCTAAGCTGATGCTGTAAGATTTAGTAACTTGCCATTAAGGATTATTTTACAGCATGAACTTTAAAATATTTATTCAAATGATATTTTACTCTTGTATTCACTTTGTTTTTAGATTTGTGACATGAATATTTCTGTGCTGCTTTATTTTGTTCTGATGAATTTGTTTCTTGCTTGTAAATTGCCTTTTTTATGGTATAAAGTCAATCGGAATTGCTGTTTGTAAATTAAAATGCTTCTAGAGCAAATCTGTGGTGTCAGTGTCTATATTTAGATATTTAATTACTGAGGAGCTTGCACTTTAGGTGCTATTACTGAAGTTTTACAACAAGCATTTTAATACTGATCTACCAACTAGAAATCAAAAGTCTTTAGAGACAATTACTCTTGAAGTTTCTCTGTTTTGCCAGCACTAATTGCTTCGTTCAGAACAGATGATCATTTGAGTTGTGTGCTCCAAAACCTCATCCAACTTTCAGAGCAAAACAAAGAACCCAGCCAGGTGGTGTCAACCCATCCATGCCATTCCAAGGCCAATCTCTTGAGGAGGGACACCCTGCTTCGTTCCTCCAGCAGCTTTTATGTTTTACGTTCTGCCACATACATCAGTAGGGGTGATGCTGCTCCCAGCAAGTGTAGGTATACTCCTCCTCACCCACAACATGGGATTTAACAGGAGCAGCCCCAGTGCAGCTGTAGGCCATGGTTATCTTGACTGGCAGTGGGATTTGGAGGGGCTGGAGTTGAGTGGGTTAGTCCCTGAGTCCCTGTTGGTGTCAGAGTACCTATTCCAGAAAAACCTCCCTTCAAATCCCCTTCTTATAAGGTCTGAAACTTCAAGCACTGCAGAATGGGGTAAACAAGACCTGACTGTTAGGAGTGGGATAAACATACTGTTGCACTGGAATCCAGGCCACTGAGATGATCAGGTGCCTGGAGCATCTCTGCTCTGGAGCCAGGCTGGAAGGGCTGGGGGGTGCTCACCTGGAGAAGAGAAGGGTCTGGGGAGACCTCAGAGGCCCTTCCAGCATCTAAAGGGGCTCCAGGAGAGCTGGAGAGGGACTTTTGACAAGGGCCTGGAGTGCAAAGTCCCACTGCCAGAGGGCAGGGTTAGATGGGACATTGGGCAGGCATTTTTCCCTGGGAGGGTGGCGGGGCCCTGGCACAGGGTGCCCAGAGCAGCTGGGGCTGCCCCATCCCTGTAGTGTCCAAGGCCAGGCTGGACCAGGCTTGAAGCAACCTGGTGCAGTGGAAGGTCTCTCTGCCCATGGCAGGGAGGTGGAATGAGTTGAGCTTTTAAGTCCCTTCCGACCCAAATCATTCTGATCCTATGAGCGTTCTGAAATACCTGAATTTCTCTCACTGTAGCTGGCACATCTGAATTCAGCATCAAGGGAAAAACAGACCCAGAGACTGGATACTTGTTTAAAAAGTGCTATGAAATACGACTTTCAGCAAAGCAGAAAACAGAAGACAAAGATTTTGTGAAAAAGTTTTTTAAGATGGCTAAGGAAAAAAATTGGTTTAGGTTAAAAATGACCAGTTCTGTTCACCTGATCTTTGCGTACATGCAGACAGAGGCCCCATTGCTTAACTTTTCATAATGCGAACTTCTTGAAAACAGGTTGAGGGGAAGGTAGAATAGCCAATGAACATGGCATACGGAATTTATACTTCCTGCAATAATCATGCAGAGAAAATGAAGCCAAATCCCACGGATGCTACATTTCATGAGCTATATGAAATAGCATAGTACATTTGTATTGTGCATCGTTTTAGGAAAAATTTAAATTGAATACTATGTCAAAAGTCAATTGAATTATAGACAGAAACATTTCATTAAAATTTAGGGAAATATATGGCTGGTGGCAATGTCTGAAGTAACATTACTTGTCTATGCATTCTTTTCCACCAGAGGGTGCTGGCTGATTTTTAAAAATATATTATGTAGGGGTCATTTAAGGCTCTCTACATAGCAGAAGCCTAAAATAGGAAAAAAAAAAAGATGTTTCCCGTCCTCATTATGACACCTTCAAGAGGAGCAGGTGCTGGGTGATTTCATTATTAGCAGAGCAGTGTTCATACCCAGGATTTCAGAGGCTGTCCTGCTGTGCTGCATGAGACCTATCTAGGCAGTGACACCACCATTTTACAGTTAAGCGTCAGTTTGGTAACTGTCAGAATCTCTGAATCTCATAATCATTTGGACAAGAAGTTAACTGGTTTTCAGATAGTTTTTTTTCCAAATTCCTGTAGAAACACCAGTAACTGATGTATATTTTTCAAAGACTGTAACACATGGAACACTGTTTTAATGTCCTGGCATAGTGATACAGGACAGAGAAAACATTTTGTCAGAGAATTCTGTACTTTTGCTCTAGTGGGAACTGATGCTATACGTATTAGAGGAAAGTGTGTTGCTTGGCAGTACACCAATAGGATAAACTCAAATAAGAATTAAATTATTGGAGATTCATATGAAATTAATTTTCTTTAGCCTTTCTGATGGGGAGGAAAGTGTAGGGAGAATGTCTTCTGTGTACTACTTCTGAACTACCTCAAGTGCCTTTGGCTTTGATATAGTTATTGGTGTTGTGAGCATCAGGGCTTGTAAGCAGATTTCAAATTTATGTTTAAAGTTATTTTTACAGTTTATTCTCAAATTGAATTTTACTACTTTGAAAAGCACGCTCATACACATTTAGTTGTGATGTCTGAGGATGTTTAAACTGCTCTGGGTTGATAGGTACTGAAAACCTTTGATAACCAGGAAATTGGAAAACACCTTATAAATGTATTCAGGGCATCATGCAGTATCTCAAAGCTTCCTCTGCGTACCCTCACTAGGCTTTTGTTCTCTAACATGCAAACCTGCAGGCCAGTCCGATGGGCTGCATGGAATCCTGCATGTACCTTACCACTCCACAGAGCCTGTGTTTTCCTGTAGTGATGCCTGCACACTGTGCCTGAGTGTTGCTTTTAGAGAAGCTGTAAATCAGAGAAAGGTGCACCGTCCTTTTGACTCGTTGCTTCAAGTACCACCAAGAAGCCCACAAAGCTCTGCTTGATTGCCTTGGAAGAACACACACGGTCACTGACCTGCAGCATCATCACCCGGACCTGAACCTGACCCCAGTTTTAGTTTCGTCGGTGCACGGCAAGGGAGAGGCACGGCCCATGCTGCGGCGAGGCGACGCGAGCGGCCGGCTCTTCACTGACTCTTCTCCGGGAGCGACCAGAGCCGCTGCTCGGGGCCGAGCCGCGACCGGGAGGGACGCTCGGGCTGTTCGGAAGCCCTGCCCGGACCCCGGGTTGGCCTTGCCCGGACCCCCGGGTTGGCCTTGCCCGGACCCCGCGCTCCCGCCTCCCTCACGGAGCCACGTGCGCAGCCGCACTGCGGCCGCCAGGGGGCGCGGGCGGGGCGGGCGCAGCCAAGGACGGCGCCGCAGCACCTGCGCTCGCGCGCTCCCGCCCCGCCCGGGCCCATTGGTGCGCGCTCCCGCGCGGGGAGCCGGTTGGCTGGCACGCGCGTCAGTCCGCGCGCCCCGGCCCCGCCCCACGGTCCCCAGCCGGGCCGGGCCTCGTCCCCGGCGGTGCTGAGGGCGCCTCCCTCTCACCGAGAGAGGTCGTGGGCGTTGCTGGGGACATCGCGTCCCGAACAGGTGAGCTGCGGACGAGCCCCTCGTGTCCGGCACAAAAGGTGGGACAGGCCGCCAAGCCCCTCGTCCCTCCGCCTTCTGCCGTCCCTGCTCCGGCGTGTGTTGCGGGCGGAGCTCTGCGGCGACAGGCCCAGACGGGCGCTCGCCCTCCGGAGGCGCCGCTTGCGGGAGGCCGGCGGCTTCCGGCTCCCCGGGGGCGGCGCGGGGTGCTGCCGCATCGCCGCCCGCCGTGGCGGGTCCGGGCTCCTCCTGCGCGGGGCGCGGCAGGTGCGCGGCAGGCG